CACACATTATTAGCAGAAGAACTGGGAGCTGAGGTCAACAGTTCTGATTTTCAGTTACCTTAGCCTAAATACAGAGTTCCTTGAGATCAGTTAGTTTCACAAGAATTCTCTCAGCATCAACTAACCATAAACTGCCTTTCAAATAAGATCTACTGGTCCATTATCAATGTGCAAACAACGCAGAATTGAGAAATGACCACAACATGAAGACATTTTTGGGAGTTTATGGTCACGTTTAGTGACAAGTGTTCCTCCCACACAGTTAACACTAAAATTATATCAATAATCCAGCTAGTTGTTTTCACCTTGCAATAAACACACACAAAAGTACTCTACTGTAGGACTTCTAGCATTCATATTATTCCTGCATAGAGAAGAGGCATCAGCTACACAAACTCTTCCATATGGGTGGCACAAGCCTGTTCAAGTCCGTTAGCAATGCTAGGGCATCTGTGAGATGTGGCTACAGCCACTTCACATTTTCCAAAATGCAGGCTATTTCTTTCCTCCACTGAACTGCTTTTTGTTTCCCTCACTTAGCTAGAGCTTCATAGTCGCGGATAGTGTAAACTCTTGCACAAGGTGTGGCCTCGTGAAACATCTGCAGAAAAGATTTGTCTCCTTTTTATGCCATGAGCAAATGAAGGGAAATTTTGCCATGTGCTTTAGCATGCCTTCCAGGAGAATCTGCTCCAAGGTTTTGCCAGTCACAGAGGAGAGACTGACTCGTCTGTAGTTCCCTGGGTCTTCCATATTCCCCTTCTTGCTAGTGGAGGTTATATTTCCCTTTTTCCAGTCATTGGGAACTTCACCTGACTGACATGATTTTTCAGATATGAAGGATTCTTCACTGACAAGCAAACATACCAAATTGGGAATATTTGGGTCCAGATTTGAGTTATTTCAGTGGGAAATTCAAACAGATCCAAACTAAAAAAGGAACCTAAGAATTAGAGACAGAGAATTATTGTTGTAGATGGATCTGTCTGACAATGTTATCCCACTACCTCAGGTTTAAGAGACAGGACTGCCAGGAATAGCAACTGCCAAACCGCCAGTAATAATGAACTGCACTTTATAAAGAAGTTGATGGTTGTGGCCTGTTGTACGCTTAGATACTGGATAATGCAAAATTAGATAGCATGGCACCTATGCAACCTAAATAGTAAAGGATGGTCAGAGCTATCTTGGAAAACAGCTGGGTGGTATTAGAATACATTTGTTTTCTGCTTCATCATGAAGTCTTTGCACAACCATTACTTCCTATAAATTCTTGGAATTATGGGGTTCTACATGTCAGCTATCAGCATAAAATTCTCTGAAAGAACAATTGAAGGTAACTATGTACACACTAACATCCAAAAAGTTTCTGAGTCACCATGATTTCTATTTAAGGATTCACTTAGTACTAAAAGGCCTTCCCTTATAAATTCAGTAAAAACAATAAAGACCAAAGTAAATTGCTCTTTTGTGTGTTTTTTATATTGCAACCACATCCTCTGCCATTTAAGAACAACAGTATAATTCTCCACCATTTGTTTTGATACAGCTCTTCCAAAGTACCAGGTATTATATTTTTCTAAGTCAGATACATGTCACTTCATAATTCAGTTATTAAATTCAATCTTTACACTGAAGGAGAAAGTTAATCCATTTTATGGGACATGAAAGCAGCTGTTTAACAAAGCCACCAACCACTACCTTTCATGCAGGGATATAGAGTGGATTCTATTTATAAGCCTCCATCTCTGAGCCCATATTCCTTTCAATTCCTCTGCCAAACTCAGAAAGGAGACACAAGAATTGAACCAACAAGAGACAAAAACTGACCTTCGACAGTTGGGGGAAGTTGAGATACAGGTCTGAATTTGAATGCCAGAACTTTTGGGGATTTTTATCTGATTCACATCTTGCAGCTTGAGATCACGTCTCAAAATAATGAAGGCCTTCAGTTAACAACCCATAACAGAGCTATAGGTTTTGAATACTAGCAGAGAACACCCACATTCATGCCAAAGGATAGCAACCACATGATGATTCTCCGAATATACTTTACTTATGTAAATATACTTTAATATACTTACGTCCTTTTCTGAAATCCAACAAGACATTATTTCTCCATGAAATTGCATTGACATCAGTGTAAAAGTCAGAACAGAACAGTGTCTGAATCAGTTCAACAACTGATTTCTTAACACCACATATTTTCAATACCATTAAAGTGTTCATTTTCCTGATCAGACCATTCTTCAGCAAAGTGAAGTAGAATCAAGGGAAAAAAAAAAAAAACAACAAACAACAAAGACACAAACAACAAACCTGAAATGGTAAACCATACATCAACAACAGTGACAGACTAAGAAAATAATTATGCTTCTAAAGCAAGGCCTGTATATACTGAAATTTAACCATGCTCCAGGCAAGATATGTTATGAACACCAGGTTGTGCACTTTTCCTAAACACTGAGGACAAATAACAACATATACAAATTATGGATGATAAAACAACTGAAAAGGCATTTAGGACTAGACAGAAGAGGAAAAAAAAAAGACAGCCTGTGTATCAGTAAATTTCTGCAAAAAAGAGAAGCCATATGACTTTTTTTAAATCTGTGAAAAAGAGACGAGCTAATGAGAAGCAGATAACCTGACTATTATCACATGCCTGAATGCCTGAAGAAACTAATTCTCTTGATATTTTCCCCATTTATCATTAACTGCAGTGTTCTAAACATCTGATGTTTTCTGAATCCAACAGGCAGACACGTCAGCAGGAGATGAACTACAGTACACCCAATTATGTCAGTATTCTGCATGGCTTTTATCATTGGGCGTGAACTGTAACTTCCAGGCATGCGAAACTCCAAATTAGTTTCTCAGACAATCATGGTAACAAAAATTCCTTGTATGTAAATAGTAATTTGAACATCAAAGATGATTGGGCCCTTTTTTAAAGGAAAATGCAGTGCATAAAATAAACCATTATTGCAAGAGAATTTTTTTGATGCTTCCTTGCTAAAACCATAACTATTTTATCATGTTGCCTTTTGTGTATTCAGGGAAAGTTTACATAATGAAGTAACCTTGATTATTTGCCATGAAGACATGCTATGGTCTAATGAGAAGGGATTTGATACTTACAGATTTCTGCAATTCTTCATAGTTTTTCTAGAAATAAGCACTTAAATTTAAATTTGAACAATAGATATCCATGTTTCAAGATTATTTTTATTTCCATTTTTACAAAATTAGTATCCAAGCAAGAAGATTTACATTTTTAAGATGCATATGCTCTGCAGTATGCACACAGCATAACTAGGTTGTCCTTGGCCAACCATAGCTGTTCTCAAGGATTTAAATTACAGTCTCTGTGTCAATGATTCCCAAATTTCTTAACTCTTCACTTCCCTTTTGTTCACACTTGTAATTAGAACTGCTTCTACAGAATCTTCTTCAGATGACCTCTTGCCAAACGAATAACAGCATGTCAAAACCAGCTCCTTTTCCCTCCTCCCAACTCTTTCCTTCCTGTTTTGCTGTAACTGTTAACAATTCCACCATCCTTCCTATCCCCATAAGCCCTTGAGTACTGGTAAAATTTTCAGCTCCTCTCCACTTGCATAGAAATACAACCATGCACCCAAGAAATACTTAATGTTAATCCTACTACCTTCCATATAGCCTCTCTGCAGCAACGTTTCAAAATGGACATCATATAAACATCAAGTTCCACAGACTGACTGAATGAAAGCAGGATTTACCAGCCACAGGCAACCTTACTTAAATCCAACAAATAAGAAAATGGAAACTCTTATTCCTGCAAAAGAACTTGTATTTGCTTGCTCAGATCAATTATTAATCTTTTGTTTTTCTACATACAGGTATAGAAAACTGATAAAGAAAGAGAATGCAAAATAATCATTAGCAAGTGAACAACACTTCAGGCACTTACTAAAAAAGAAAACACTATCTGTATTAAGCAAGGCTGCCTACTTTAAAAGTCTTACATAAGCGTTCCTTGTTCTTATATCCAAGTGTTCTTTATGATTCAAGAAATTCCCTGAATCAGGCAAGAGTAATGTACAGTCTGCATTATCATGCTGAAGTATTAAATTTGAAAGAGAAACTTCCCTAGTGTTCATAAATGTGTAATGTTTTCAATTATAAGAAACAGTTTTCTAAGCATATTTCAAATTAAAAACAAATGTTGCCTCAAGCATCTTAAGCAAATTGCCTTAAATAAGATGAATAGGGCTTGATACCTAACAGGATTTTCACTTCACAAAGTCAGAATTTGCTCTCATCATCTAACCTGGCTCCTGTTTTTTTTCATCCAGTTGGACTGCAAGTGATACATGTCAGAAGCATGAAGCATAAAGTGTTTTTATGAAAATAACCAAGTATCAAAAAATCCAAAGCCAAATTCACTGATGAAGAAACTGATAAAGACAAAGCAAAAGAATCCCTGTTAATATCTGCAGCTTACTGAAAGCACTGCTCTGACAGACAGTCACAGCTTATTTAGTTTCAGATAAGAACCACCAAGCTTCTACTGCATTTCCCAGAATTCTTACTTATTTTTATTTAAAGCTAAATATTATTCACTGGCGGGCAAAAGGGTTCAGGTATGTTACATATATTTAACATTTATCTAGTGTAAATGGGAAAAACATTGCTTAATCTCAGTATTTCTCAACCACTGAGCAACATAATTCCCTCAGCACTGACTACAGAAAAAAAAAACACATATCCATAAAAATATTTTCAACTGACAGGATATGATCACTACTGACTAATGGATTTGCTTTGTGAATTCTGATAAAGAAGACAGTTTCCAGAAGTACCTAATTCATATAAAGCTGAAATTCCATGGATATAGAACTTTTTTTTAATATATATATAGGAGGGGTGAAAAGTCTCAAGAGATTGTTTCCATTGTTTTTGAATTTATCATTTCCTAGTTAATAATGTTTTCATCTGCTCCTAACTTTAGACTTAACCATTTTGTCATTTTGCATGCAGTCTTCCCATCCATGATTCAGTGATTTCTATCAGCTTAGCTCACAAAGAGGGCAAGTAAGTAATCACACAGCCATATGGGAATGCAAGTACACTAATTACTGGCTTGTTTTAGTTTCAGCCAAACTTGGACTTCGTCCTAGTACTTTGTTCACATAAGCCACTTTGTCACATGCTCAGGCAAAGTAAGGGATAACGAAAATTCAATCTAGGTTAAGAAGACAATAAAATGTTTGCAGAACATCTATTTCCTAGAGCTATTAATGACTTAACTGTCCAGCTCCCCAGATCGCATCACTGGTATTAACACCCACAATTCCTATCAGGGAACCCATCTGAATAAAACTTGATTATTTATGATGTGCAGAAGTGATGGGAGAGCCAGTGCCAGCCCAAGCCTTTAAACAGGCAATGGTGTGAAGTAAAACACACTCCATGTCAGCATAGCTATGGAATACAGGTCAGAAACTAATTAACAAACAAAAGTCTATTTCCCTTAACAGAGAAAAGTCTTTCATGAGCCACAATTATTTAGTCAGTGCAAACAGAATTTGCAGTAGAAAAGGTGTAACCGACAAGATACTAATGCATCCTACTGAGGTAATATTCTTTAAAACAATAGTAGTTGTCCACCTGGAGGAAAGGTCTTGTAAATACAGTTTTAAAAAAACTGCTGTATACTGTTTTCCTGTGGTTCTTGAAGACTCAAAAGCTACTTTTCTATTTATTTAGTGGGCTTGTTTACGGGGTTGTTTGGTGGTGGTGCGGCAGTTTTTTACTGTTGCTTTGGGTTCTTTTTTTAAATAGCTCCCTTTCTTTTATTTTTCCTGCAGGAGATTAGTACAGAAGTCAAACAAAAGCTTCTTAGAACCTTTGTGCATTTAAAGATCATTTCAAGAAAACGCAAAAAAATAGAAAGACATAGCTGTGAAGAATATTAAGCCAGTGTACAAAAATCCTCCCATGACACCTGAGACTGCATCGGACAAGGTAGAAGGAAGTGTACCACAGAGAAAATACATAGCTGGAAGTTATTATATTTGAGAAAACACACAACAAGATGAAGAGTCACAGGGAGCAATTGTTCCTTCACTAATTTTTATTTTTAAGTGAAGCTTTGTTTGGGTTGTTGAATTTGGGTTGCTTCTGCAAGACATTCATATACTGGCAAGTTTCTGGAGCCTTACTTTTATTAATTCCTCCAACTGGCAATGGTTCTGGCATTTGAAAGCATTTCCTTTATCCTTTTTTTCATGTTTCATATACTAACAACACTGGCACCCATTGTTCAGAGGTCATGTAACACTTTCATAAGCAATACACCAGCATATAATTTTCATAATACATGGGTGGAGGTACAGAGCCTGTATACTGAAGAGTACATTGGCTAGAACAAGTAGGAAACAAGCATTCTCCTAAATTTTGGACTTGCACACTTTTATTCAAAATCTCTTCAGTATCAGCACAAAGAAACAACCCATCTTTCTCAACATAGTTCATCTGGACAAGCTAATGATTTCACTCAGCACAATAGCCTTAACGTTAATAAAAAAAAATCAAATCCCTTTAAACTAAGTACATTACAAAATCAAGCTGAGGAAGAGAATAATATTTGTGTAGAAACAAACAACTGAATATAATACTTGGCTTTTGCTCCCTCACTAGATTTATTGAGAAGCTGGAGGCCAAAACTCTTTTGTTTGTTTTTGTTTAATTTAATGCCAGTACCTAGAAAAAACATCTGGTTATTCTACACAATATTATAACTAAAATTGCCAGAGAACAGAACATCTTTCACAGAGAGTACTGAATGTACCTCTCAACTTTCTCAGGTTTTATTTTCAAAATAAGGGCTGTTTGCTGCTTTTCCATAGAGAGGCAATCTTTGCAAAGGATTCAGTCTAAGTCATCTACTCTTACTACCTACTCAGCGATGCAATTACTATTAATTTACCTAGAATATAATACATAGGCAGCGGTGGCCAAAAAAAGCCAACAGATCATCAGGTGTCATTCAGAAAGGGTACTGAAAACAAGACAAAGTACTTAATTTTGTGACTGTATAAAATCTTGCTGCATCCACATCCTGAATGCAGGTCTGGTCACCTTGGAAAGGGTAGTTGCCTCTAAAAAGGATGTAATCGACTTAGAAAACGCCCATGAAGGGCAATTGAAAATATCAAGTGGATAATAGCTTCCTTGTACAGGCAGACTAAACAAGCTGGGCTTCTTCAGGGGAAAAGTGGAAGACTGAAAGGGGACCATACAATCAAGATTCAGAGAAAGCTTCAACAAATTCATCATCTGAAACCTAGAAAGCAGATACAATGCAGGAATATACCCCCTAAGATGCCCTCAGTTCTAGATGCCAAGTAAGAAGACAGGGCATTCTGTCACAGGCAACAAAACACTTGGGGGATTCCAATTAACAATGGTTCCTTTTCTTTTGCTGCTCCTTGATTTTTACTCCACTGCTCTGGTGTGACTTTCTCCACTACCTGCTATCCTTCTGGGGGTTGTACCTTCTCCTATGCCTTCTCTGCAGTCCTGCCCCTGCTCAGGCACCCCTCCAACCCTGGCATCTCTCTTCTTTCTCTTCCTTTCCTTTGGTATCTCACTCTTTCTCTACTGTTCATCCTGCCCACGCATACTTCTTGTTTCTCCTTGCCGCTGCTCAGGTGTCCTTCCTGTCCTCACATTGTCTCTCATCTTCTGCCTAGAGACTAGTACCACCCTTTCTTAAATATTTTTTTGTAGAGGTGACAAAAACTTCCCTAACTGGTTCAGATCTAGTGCAGAGTGGGTCCACTGAGGAGTCAGGTGTGTCTGGCCCAGGACAGTCCCTGACCTACACACTTAGAGGTCTTCCTGAGGTCCCTCTGCTACCAAACTCCTTCCAATTACACAGGAACAGCAAGAACCATCCAATCTCATGTTCATCCTGACTATGCTCTCCTTTACACTAAAGGGCTAGACAGATCACTGGCTTTACACAGTATGGTATTTTTCTGGTTTTGACTATACAGTCAGCCATTAAATATGCCAACACTCCTTTGACTAAAAACTATGGCCAGAAGCAGATATGAATCAAATATATGTATATGTACAGAACCCTGACGAAATCCTCATCTGCAAAATCCATTTATTTACTGTTGCAGTTTGAGCCCAGCCAGCAACTGAAGTACCACACAGCTTCACACTCACTCCAGACACCCCATCCCTGGTAGGGTGGGAAGAATTGGAAAAAAGTTAAAAACCTGTGGGTTGAGATAAGAATCGTTTAATAACTGAAGATAATAATAAGAAATAATAATACTAATAGAGAGAGGGGAAGAAATAAATCTAAATATCTGGGGAAACTAGCATTTTTAAACCCAGGTGAAAATATAGAGAAACAATAGAGTACTAATATTTCTTACTATCAGTGATAAGTCTTGAACATCTTTATTACTGTGTTCCTAAAAGGACATTTCCTAATTATTAGGACATATTACCTGGACTTGTGTAAAGCGTTTGACACTGTCCCACACAACATCCTTGTCTCTAAATTGGAGAGACATCAATTTGATGGATGGACCACTCAGTGGATAAAGAACTGGCTGGATGGCCGCACACAAAGAGCTGTCATCAATGGCTCAATGTCCAGCTGGAGACCAGTAACGAGTGGTGTCCCTCAGGGATCGGTGGTGGGACCGGTCTTGTTTAACATCTTCATCGCTGACATGGACAGTGGGACTGAGCACGCCCTCAGCAAGTTTGCCCAAGACACCAAGCTGTGTGGTTCGGTTGATACCCTGGAGGGAAGGAATGCCATCCAGGGGGACCTTGACACGTTTGTGAGGTGGGCTGATGCCAACCTCATGAAGTTTAACCATGCCAAGTGCAAGGTCCTACACCTGGGTCAGAGCAATCCCAGGCACAGCTACAGGTTGGGCGGAGAAGAGATTCAGAGCAGCCCTGCGGAGAAGGACTTGGGGGTGTTGGTTGATGAGAAAATGAACATGGGCTGGCTTCAGTGTGCGCTTGCAGCCCAGAAAGCCAACCATATCCTGGGCTGCATCAAAAGGAGCATTACCAGCAGGTCGAAGGAGGTGATCCTGCCCCTTTACTCTGCTCTTGTGAGACCTCACCTGGAGTATTGTGTGCAGTTCTGGTGTCCTCAACATAAAAAGGGCATGGAACTGTTGGAACAAGTCCAGAGAAGGGCCACGAGGATGATCAGGGGACTGGAGCACCTCCCGTATGAAGACAGGCTGAGAAAGTTGGTGCTTTTCAGCCTGGAGAAGAGAAGGCTGCGTGGAGACCTCATAGCAGCCTTCCAGTATCTGAAGGGGGCCTATAGGAATGCTGGGGAGGGACTCTTCATTAGAGACTGTAGTGATAGGACAAGGGGTAACAGGTTAAAAGTTAAACAGGGAAGTTTAGATTGGATATAAGAAGGAAATTCTTTCCTGTTAGGGTGGTGAGGCACTGGAATAGGTTGCCCAGGGAGGTTGTGAATGCTCCATCCCTGGCAGTGTTCAAGACCAGGCTGGACGAGGCCTTGGGTGATATGATTTAGCGTAAGGTGTCCCTGTCCACGGCAGGGGCATTGGAACTAGATGATCTTAAGGTCCTTTCCAACCCTAACTATTCTATGATTCTATGATTCTAAATGGAAATGTCAGTTCCTATTTTTGCAATAAATTTCCACCAGTATGCAATCTCTACTTGTATTCATATTAAATAAAAATAGTTTTGTAAAATACTTCAGCTAAAATCATCTAGTTATTTGCTATACATTTAAACTAACAAATAATTTAACAGAGCAATTTGCTTCGTTCCCTCTTTTAAAGATTTATCAAAACCTTTGTGATAAAAGCTCCCTAGTTACAAATTTCCTTAAAATATTATTTCAGTAACTTTCTCATCTAAAAGAAAATTTGCAGCTGTTGTGCTTGGACAAATTTTGGCAGGGATGTATTTGTATGTTGTGAATGATGTCACCATCTTGTGACAAGCTACAAAATGCTTTTGGCTGGGTCAGCTTTTTCCTAGGCCACAGATATCTACATTTATTTTAAACCCTTAATTTAAAATATATCTTTAAAATGTGCATCCTTGCAGACATGCAGCAATGAAAAGTAATTCTTTTTGTTTCATTTGAGTAGTTAATTCATGATACCAATCAATACCATATGTTCCTTCTCTGTAGAAACAATTAACACATAGTATCAGACAGTTTTACACAGAAGCTGGGTATTCGCCTCCACCCCTGAAGAAATACTCTCCCAGCACATACCGTGTTTCAAATAGTTGTCTTCTA